ATGACACCGAGTCACACTTGTGGTGTTCCCGGTCATTGAAAGTGAATGGGGAGACTAAAAATTAGAGAAAAATGTAGTTGCTAGGAGCATGTTCATGTTCACATATGTACATGTGTGCTTGAAGACATAGAGCCCTTGGACATGTGCATGCGTGGATACATGCACACACACACACACACACGCACACGCACACACACACACGCACACACACACACACACACACACACACAAACTATTTTCTGAATGACACATTCTTTTTCACAGTGATGAAATTGATCCTACCCTGAACTGCATCTAATATCCATTCATCTATCTGACATTATCACACACACACACACACACACACACACACACACGCACAGACACACACACACACACACACACACACACACTTAAAGTAGACTAGTGTGATCAACAGTACCAATTTTCTAAAAAAAAATCCAAAATGATTCAAAAATAAAGGTTTTTTGCCTACTCTCAGGTAGATGCCTACTCTCAGATAAATGAGGCCCACGATTAATTAGATGCAAATGGAAATACAAAACCAGTCCTAATTGAAAGAGAACAATTTGACAAAACAGAGTTGAATCCAAGATTGGGTGAAAATATGGTATAATGAGTGATTTCTAAGTATTTTTTATAGGCCGGTCATTTTGACCCGGGAAGACCACAAGTGTGACTATGTACCATTTTTTACAAAATAAAAGTTTTTCAAAACAAACTTCCCGGTCAAACATTAAAGTAGACAAGTGTGATCAACAGTACTAATTTTCAAAAAAAAACTTTTTCCAAAACTATTAAAAAATATATTATTTTTTACTCAAAAAATTAGATGCCTACTCTTAGATAAATGAGGCCCACGATTAATCATATGCAAATTAAAATACAAAACCAGTCCTAATTGAACGAGAACAAGTTGACAAAAAGATTGAATCCAAGCTTTGGTGAAAATATGGTATAATGAGTAATTTATAAGCTATTTTGTATAGGCCGGTCATTTTGACCCGGGAAGACCACAAGTGTAACAAGGTAACAAACCCCCCCTAAAAAAGTAAGAAAATTTTCAAAAAACATGTGAGAAGTAGTTATACCCTTTGGGAACAAAGTCACTAAGTTTCAGTCCAATGCGATAACATTAACTAGTATTTTTGGGAAAAAGAAAATCTTCTCCGGGTCAAAATGACCCGAAGACCACATGAGGGTTCAACAGTACATTTTGTTAACCTTTTACCATATGTCTTGGAGTATCGCAATAATATCTTATCGTGAGTTCAGTATCGTGATATGTATCGAATCGTGACATGAGGGTATCGTTACATCCCTAATTAATAGCGGATACCAAACCTGCGAGACGCCAGAACTTTGCTGTGCCGTCAATCATCCCAATTTCAGGAGTGAATTGTGTTCCATACACACATGGAACGATAATTTAGGGGATTCACTCCCGAACAGGCTACATGCTTCCGGTGCATGTACAATTCATAATTCCAGGTACACTGAAACAAATAGCCAGACACCATGGAGAACTGGATTGGTGCTCATAGCAGGGGGCAAATGGAGAGCCACAGGTGTGAAGGGAAAAGAAAGACAGGGGTGAAAGATACGAGATTTTTGGTTTAACGGGAAAGACAGAGGGAACTGTAGGCCCATTCGGGGGGTGTTGTGGTGGCAGACACAACACTCGCTCAGCTCATACATCAGTCTTTGTGCTCTGTACAGCAAACCCCAAAACAAGCATACACTTCACCTCCAAAAAGCAGAGCACCAAAGGATCTGGCGAGAGAAGATGAAAGTGCTTTAAATCAGAGCGTTTTAGCTTTATTGTTTGTGGCACGGTTATTAGTGAAAATGGGCATGAGAGAGGTTTCAAGATGCAAAACCACACAATAGCCGCATTGTCTTTGCGCTCTGTAATTAATGAAGAAGGTATGAGCGTCTCTCTCTTGCGAATGCTCGTCGGGTCACTGTTTCTCTCTTTCAGTCGCAGAATCTCCCAGGATGTTTTTCTTTCTTTTGATTGCCAGCCAAGACCGCAGTGACAAGAATCCTTGTGTGGCATTTCAGAAACTCGCATGGCAGAATTCCCCCTCTAATGCTTGCAGTTCCAAGAGCTTTGCCACCCCATAATAACTGACAGATACCATGCCATGTGTTTTGAACTTTAGACTGATCAAATTTCATCCCCCTGTATAATTATTGAAATCCGACTGCTCTGGCTCTTGGCTTGTGTTCACAAGCTCAAAGGGAACTGCTAACATACCATTGAGGCGCATGCGAAGCTTGGCACGGGGCCGACCGGAGAGGTTTGCTTTCCTTACACAGGATCAGGTGTTTCTCATAATAAATGACAGTTGCGCGTCTCGTCTCGGGTTTATAAAACTAGGCACTTTTCTTTAAAGAGGAATTCTAACCAAGTTTCTGTCTCTTTGTTTTGTTTATTTTCTGTTTTTGTTAATGGTATTCCTAATTATCTGTAAGGAATATGTTTTGAATTCCTCCGATTGAGGATGTTTAATGCTGAAAGCAGTGGTTTTGGGACCAGGAGTGTTTAAAGGTGATTATGGAAATTTCATCTTGGGTGGGCACATTCCTTTTTAAGGCACAACAAAACAGAGGCCTGGATAAACTACTGAAGCTATAAATACTGACGTGTGGTGAGGTGACTTTGATGGGAAAGTGAAAAACTAACACCAAATTACAAAGGGGCTAGAAACTCTTCTAATACTGGCCAATACATGTATACAAATGGCCCTAAAAGGATATTTTTAACATGTAGGCCTAAACCACATTTCAAAATGTATGAATGTCATTGCATCAGATAACAAAATATGAAACAAGTGTCTTATATTAACGGAACATTCATGAATTTTATGTAAAGAAAAATAGCATAAGTCCACTTATCAAGCACAATATTTTATGAAAAGAAAGTTGTATGGTTCCTATTTTTTTATATATATTTTAAAACGTAATTTATTCTTGTGATCAAAGCTGAATTTTCAGCATCATTGCTCCAGTCTTCAGTCACATGATCCTTCAGAAATCATTCTAATATGATGATTTGCTGCTCAAGAAACATTACTTATTAGTATATTAATGTTGAAAACAGTTGTTGCTTAACATTTTTTTAGAAACTGTGATAAAAAAATTTCAGGAATTTTTTAACAGTTTATAAGAACAGCATTTAAAGGAAATCTAAATATTTCGTAACGTTATGAATGTCACGTTTGATCTATATTATGAATTCATGCTGAATAAAAGCATTCATTTCTTTTCCTCCAAAAAAAATCTGACCTCAAACTTTTGAATGTTAGAGCTCTTCATCATAGATTAGAAAAGTTCTTCCGACTATCCAAGTACATAATCTGAAAGTATCTTTAGTGTCTATGATCAAAGTTAAAGGGGTCATGAAATGAGAAATCAAATGTCACGGGCAAATACATTTGCATATGACTGCCTCCAGAGCAAGACATCGACGAATAGTTCTACATCATCTCCTCATAGGCTCCGCCCACTCGCGTTCAGTCGCTTAACGGCTGACATTTTCCTACACTGGATGTGCGCGTCGCGTCAAAAACATAAAACCCATTATAATCACTGACGCTGTCTACACTGATACAGTTTACAGATGTGTGTTCAGTTTCTGACACTTGAGTCTGTCGACAACAGGACTAATGGACGAGTGAAAGTACTTTCGCTTGGTACTTTAAACAGTTTGTTTGCGTCTCTGTAGAGACTTCAGAAGGATCCCAGCATCAGAAACAAGTGGATGAATTATTTTAATGTCGTCCTGGATCACGTCAGAGGATTATATGTTTGTTCTGAGCTTTTTTTTGGTAAACGAGGCTCAGTGTAATGGAGAGTTCACAAAGAAACTCTTGTTGAAAGATGAAGCAGCGACTGTATTGAATCTGACAGCAGCTGCATCACAACCTGTGTTCAATAGTGAGTGGGCGTTGATACTGTTTCCTATGCAGTGACGTTAGCCAATCATAACAGTGGCCGTTTACTGACAAGCCTTAAAGGAGCCGTGCCTTAAAAACAGACAGAGGCTCAGAATGAGGGTTGAAATTGATCGTTTTTCCACATATGTTTTATTAACATTATAAGTGAACCTCAAGGAACATATTAAAGTAATTATATAATCAAATTCATGACCCCTTTAATGTGATCATCTACCCTGGTGGTGTTTTAAAACAATTGCAAAAATGCCACAAAAAGTACAATTATTTCTGGGAAAAAAAGGTCTAGCATCATTTTTTCTGATGACACTTTGACACGTTTTTTTATCTGACACAGTGATATTTAGACATTTTAAGTGTGGCTAAAGTGTCCAAATAGTTTCTGGGGCGACTGTAGGTCTAAATAACAAGTGTCTAGGTTCAAATTGAGTTGCAGAGGCCACCGACTGTCTCATGCTTTTGTGTCTTCTCTCCTCTTGAAGAGCAATATAGTGCTTCTGGTGCAGCGAAATACAATAACACGGCCTGGCTTAACCCCATATTGTCTTGCAATCATCCTTAGTGTTTGATTTGACTCTACTGCTTTTTTCGTTCTTTCTTTTTCTCTCATTCTTTTATCTTTCCCTTGACTAATCCAATAAGGTGGAAAGACTGTGGAAAAGAACATGTGACTGTAATACTGCTAATAGTCTCTTTATCGAATCTCATCTTTGTCAGTGAATTTAATGGGTGTAATGGGCTGTAATAATACGTCCTATGACTCTGCCTCCCCTGCACCCCTCCTCTTGCCTTTTCTTTTATCTTTCGCTCTTTTTCTGGCATGGTGTCTGTGATGTTCTTTTATATGATATGACTCATCAAGGTCTCAATGTATGTCAGATCCAACGATGAGTTTGGCTGTAAGATTAGTAATGTAAGATGATGGTACTCAATGTTCTCTAATAGTTTGTGTCAAGATGTTAAAATGCCTCCCATGACGTCCAAGTCATGTTCATTTATCCACTGTTCGCATGCGTTTTAAATAGATTTTTCTGTTTGTAGGATTTTGGGATCGAGGCTTTCACCATGAAAGCCAAGATTTGCGCAACTTCCTGGGTACCAAATACTCTAAAGTTCCCATGATGCACAGATCAGGTAAGTCCCAACAGTTATTTTATTTATCATCGGCATACACATCTAAGACTTCCAAACCACCAAATGTCTGTTTTCCCAGGCGTATACCGTCACTACGAGGACATGGAGAACATGGTACAGGTGTTGGAACTGGGCCTGTGGGAAGGGAAGGCCAGTATGGTGGTGCTTTTGCCCTTCCATGTGGAGAGTTTGGCTCGGCTGGACCGTCTGCTGACCCTGGATCAGGTGGAGAAGTGGTTGGGGAAACTGAACTTCACAAGTATGGCATTATCCCTCCCGAGAGCCAAGATGAGCAGCGCGATTAATCTAGAGGTAATAGTCTAAATATTGTACGTATCACTTCCTACATGGTCGTTATGAGTGTGTGAAATGCAATTTCAAAACATTACGTTATAGATAAATATTCTACACATACAATGTAGATAAGACTCATTTAGAAAGCTAATGGAAGATATCCAGAGATGACATTAGCATAATGAGAACCAACCATAGGTCATAGATTATTCTCATTCAGAGGGAAAGCTATTTTCCTTTTAATGGAAATTGTGTTTGAACTGAAATTGCAGTCATGGTTTGAAATGCAGTTTTATGTGTCTTAGGACACTGAGCTATGGTTTTTATTCTTTAAAACATTCCTCAGTTGTGCATTTAAGCTCTTCCATTGCCTTCTTTTTTGAACACCAGCAGGTTGAGCATGTTGCCCTGTCATCAGGGTGCAGATTACACAGGGGTTCGGGCAGTGTTCATTTTTAAAGGTGTTTTATTGTTAATAAAAAGGACAAATTTTGTCTTTTGATTAAAATATCTAGTTCTTTCTTTCTTTCTTACTGGTGCTTGCTAGGTGGAGGAACCTTTTTATAGTTCCTATAACTATTGGTGAAAGTACCCACTTTTTGGCTAGTTTGCACCAGTAACGGGAACTATTTTTGTTAAAGGAATGTAGTGTTTTCCACAGGATTTTGTGAGACTATGGTGGGTGGACCTTGGTCCATCTAGGGGAGGGGAGGGGAGGGAAGGAAGGGGGGGGGGGGGTTAAATAAATTCTGTCTCGGTGAGCATAAGAGCCTTCTTTCAAAAACATTTAAAAAAAATCTTACTGACCCCAATCTAACTTTTGAATGGTAGTGTATATATTACAAAATAGTTAGTGGGTTTTTTTAAGGTCTTAAAGTCCCCCTGTGGTGAAAATCAAGTATTTAATCTGGTTTGTATGACTATGTGGTGTTTTTAATATGCTTTAAGACAAACCATGTGCGAATTCATAAGTCAAATCCATTCCTGAGTATTTTCTCCTTAAAACTGCAGTGAAACAAAGACAGTCTCAAAAACGCGGTTTGAAATCAAACTACCTTGTAACCAATCAGGTCAATGTGCGGACGGGGCTTTAGCATATCATTAACAGCGAACTAGCAGGGGAGTCTTGAGATATTTTTCTGTTATGAAAAATCTGTTAGATTTAGCAATATAGCGGGTGTATGATGTATATGTGTATGAACTATATACCTTTCTCCACTGACGTTCTGAGATGTTCAAAGCGTTTCTGATGATTGTTTGTGTAACATTAGCAACACATTATTAGCTGTTTGATAACATAGTCAAGCCAAAGGCTAATCATATTTAATTACCGTTATGTGTCCGACTTTGTACTTTGTGATGCCATTGTGCAGCGTTTACCCCAGTAATTAGACATAGTGAATATCTGAGCTGGTGTGAGTGAGTGGAGGCGGGGCTAATTAGCATATCCACGCGTATACTAAATGAAGCAAGGTGTAGAGTTACATTTAAACCATTTTAAGGCATGAAGAATTTTATTTCACAGGAAAAAACTTTAACATATTTAATTTTGGTGATCAAAGATGAGTTTTAAGGGATACAATTATTGACTACAGGGTGACTTTAAACATTGTTGACGGTCATGTTGTGCGATACAGACGTCAACAGAACCCCCCACCAGCACCACCGAAAGTCATCCTATAATTGTGTGTCTGTGATCCCTCTAAGTGTTTTTTCATACTGACTAAAGACTCTTTTGGCATCCCAAAAATTCACGCTCCATCAAGGCCTGGGCAAAGGCAGAGTGTAGCTGCCCAGAGCCCCTCAGAGAGATGCCATGCTGGGTTAGAAGCTCAGCAAGAGTCTCTCCAGCAGCTCGGCCACAAGAAGCAGCCTGGACTCAGACAGCAGAAAGTGACAGAGTTTTAGAACAGCACAGATGGTTCTGCCTGCACTGCTGAACAGATCTGGATTTGGACGACAGAGAGTGACAGTGACTGTGGCGGGCTTGTTTGGGCTGTTGAGTTCAGTAGATGAATCCGTGTCTGGTACGATTGGCTCGTGTGGTAAGCACATTGGATTCTTTGGTGTCTTGCGGTGGGTGGATATGTCAAGTACGCCTTCATAGTTCTCTTCTTGTGAATTGTGGAGGTGAAGTGTTTTGGAGCTTGATGAATGATTTTGTGACATCTGCTGGCTCTCCTCCTCTCTCCTCCCTCGCCTCTTTCCTGTCTCCCTGCCCGTTCTTCTTATCCTTTTTTTTCTCTTTCCAGCTACCTCTCCGTCCTCCCTCTCCCAGCATCTGACCTCAGCACATCTATCTCTTGCTCGGAGTCCACTGGTTCCTCCCACTCATCCTTCGTCTCCCTTTCTTTATTCATCACTTCATGCACCACCTCAATCTTTGTGTCTGCCCTCTCATTCTCTCTCATTTCTAGCTGGTCAGTGCCCCTGCAGCTCATCTTCTGTCTCGGCCCTTTTCTTCTCTCACACGCTTTCTTTTCTCTCTTTTTACCTCCTTCATATTCACCTGCACCTCTTTCTGCAGTCTTCATTTATTTCACTTTTTTCTGTCCTCGAACATAAACAGAAGCTCAATCGTACATACTTGACACACGAGAATGAACCTCATTGGTTCTTTCTAAAGCTCAAACGTGATGCGTAACATGAGAATGAACCTCATTGGTTCTTGAGGAAGCTCAAACGTGATGCGTAACACGAGAATGAACCTCATTGGTTCTTGAGGAAGCTCAAACGTGATGCGTAACACGAGAATGAACCTCATTGGTTCTTGTTGAAGCTCAAACGTGATGCGTAACACGAGAATGAACCTCATTGGTTCTTGGGGAAGCTCAAACGTGATGCGTAACACGAGAATGAACCTCATTGGTTCTTGCTGAAGCTCAAACGTGATGCGTAACACGAGAATGAACCTCATTGGTTCTTGCTGAAGCTCAAACGTGATGCGTAACACGAGAATGAACCTCATTGGTTCTTGTTGAAGCTCAAACGTGATGCGTAACATGAGAATGAACCTCATTGGTTCTTGTTGAAGCTCAAACGTGATGCGTAACACGAGAATGAACCTCATTGGTTCTTGTTGAAGCTCAAACGTGATGCGTAACACGAGAATGAACTTCATTGGTTCTTGCTGAAGCTCAAACGTGATGCGTAACACGAGAATGAACTTCATTGGTTCTTGCTGAAGCTCAAACGTGATGCGTAACACGAGAATGAACTTCATTGGTTCTTGCTGAAGCTCAAACGTGATGCGGAACACAAGAATGAACCTCATTGGTTCTTGCTGAAGCTCAAACGTGATGCGTAACACGAGAATGAACTTCATTGGTTCTTGCTGAAGCTTAAACGTGATGCGTAACACGAGAATGAACTTCATTGGTTCTTGCTGAAGCTCAAACGTGATGCGTAACACGAGAATGAACTTCATTGGTTCTTGCAGAAGCTCAAACGTGATGCGTAACACAAGAATGAACCTCATTGGTTCTTGCTGAAGCTCAAACGTGATGCGTAACACGAGAATGAACCTCATTGGTTCTTGCTGAAGCTCAAACGTGATGCGTAACACAAGAATGAACCTCATTGGTTCTTGCTGAAGCTCAAACGTGATGCGTAACACGAGAATGAACCTCATTGGTTCTTGCTGAAGCTCAAACGTGATGCGTAACACGAGAATGAACTTCATTGGTTCTTGTTGAAGCTCAAACGTGATGCGTAACACGAGAATGAACCTCATTGGTTCTTGCTGAAGCTCAAACGTGATGCGTAACACGAGAATGAACCTCATTGGTTCTTGTTGAAGCTCAAACGTGATGCGTAACACGAGAATGAACTTCATTGGTTCTTGCTGAAGCTCAAACGTGATGCGTAACACGAGAATGAACTTCATTGGTTCTTGCTGAAGCTCAAACGTGATGCGTAACACGAGAATGAACTTCATTGGTTCTTGCTGAAGCTCAAACGTGATGCGGAACACAAGAATGAACCTCATTGGTTCTTGCTGAAGCTCAAACGTGATGCGTAACACGAGAATGAACTTCATTGGTTCTTGCTGAAGCTCAAACGTGATGCGGAACACAAGAATGAACCTCATTGGTTCTTGCTGAAGCTCAAACGTGATGCGTAACACGAGAATGAACTTCATTGGTTCTTGTTGAAGCTCAAACGTGATGCGGAACACAAGAATGAACCTCATTGGTTCTTGTTGAAGCTCAAACGTGATGCGTAACACGAGAATGAACTTCATTGGTTCTTGCTGAAGCTCAAACGTGATGCGTAACACGAGAATGAACTTCATTGGTTCTTGCTGAAGCTCAAACGTGATGCGTAACACGAGAATGAACTTCATTGGTTCTTGCTGAAGCTCAAACGTGATGCGGAACACAAGAATGAACCTCATTGGTTCTTGCTGAAGCTCAAACGTGATGCGTAACACGAGAATGAACCTCATTGGTTCTTGCTGAAGCTCAAACGTGATGCGTAACACGAGAATGAACTTCATTGGTTCTTGTTGAAGCTCAAACGTGATGCGTAACATGAGAATGAACCTCATTGGTTCTTGCTGAAGCTCAAACGTGATGCGTAACACGAGAATGAACCTCATTGGTTCTTGTTGAAGCTCAAACGTGATGCGTAACACGAGAATGAACTTCATTGGTTCTTGCTGAAGCTCAAACGTGATGCGTAACAGGAGAATGAACTTCATTGGTTCTTGCTGAAGCTCAAACGTGATGCGTAACACGAGAATGAACTTCATTGGTTCTTGCTGAAGCTCAAACGTGATGCGGAACACAAGAATAAACCTCATTGGTTCTTGCTGAAGCTCAAACGTGATGCGTAACACGAGAATGAACTTCATTGGTTCTTGCTGAAGCTCAAACGTGATGCGGAACACAAGAATGAACCTCATTGGTTCTTGTTGAAGCTCAAACGTGATGCGTAACACGAGAATGAACCTCATTGGTTCTTGTTGAAGCTCAAACGTGATGCGTAACATGAGAATGAACCTCATTGGTTCTTGA